GTATGACGAAAAAGGCGTTGATTGTATAGATATACCACCTTTCTTGGAAGTTGCCAAGAGGTATCTCACACCTTCATGGAAGGAGCTCTCCAACATATGAACATGGGAGAAGATATGGAGATAACTAAGAAGCTTGGATGCAACTTCCCCTTGTCTCCAAATAGCCCTATAAATAGAGTGTTCTATTGTTGTTCATATTACCAATTTTAGAAAGTGAGAAAAGTGTGTAAAGAGTGAAATACACTTAGAGTAGAAGTGTATTGGTGAGGATTGTTTTTTTGTAATAGTTGAGTGTGAGAGTTTGCTCCTCCTATTGCAATTTTGTTCTTGATATTGAATAGAAGATTTTCCCAATCCCAACAAGTGGTATCAGAGCGAGGTTGAGTTTCCATACACTGTTTTCTCATTTTTCAGAAAAATTTCTATAGGTTAGAAAATCGTGATTTCTTTAAGTTGCTCGGACTCATATTTGTCTTGTCGAGACGAGAAATCTGGTATTTTTGGGGAATGTTTTGGCCACCGGAAGAGGCCGTACGCGCCGCCCAAACGCCGCCTGGAAACTGCCTGCGTCATTACGCAGTCCAGAGCAAGAAGACGAGACACGTCAACGCCACGTCAGTCCACGTAAGTGCCACGTCAGTCGCCACGTCAGCCGTACAAGTCATCTGTTGGGAGCCACGTCAGATGCCACATCATCGCCACGTCAGCAACACGTAAAAAAACACGTCAGCGCCAGCTGTGTCCACGTCACCATCCTTGGTGTCAGCACACTGGGATGTTGCCTGAACCGGACCGAACCAGTTCATAGTTGTGGAGGCCGGTTCACCCATTTACAAACCGGTTTTGGACGAGGTCATACCGGTTCCTACCATTTTCGGCCATTCCAGATCCAACGGTGAGCTCCGTTTGTCCAAATTCGGCTTTGAAATAAGGTACGAGATATACTGAGCATTTTATTATGGATAAATCATCATCGGACACCATGATTGCGCTCACTTCCACAAATTACAATATGTGGATGCCTCGGATGGAGGATTTGCTAAATTTGAGGGATTTAGCTGATCCTCTTGATAATAATGGCGTGAAACCGGATAAAAAGACGAATGAAAAATTGACAAAAATGAATCGAAAAACTGTCGCACAAATTCGACAGTGGATAGATCATAGTGTGTTCCACCATGTGGCTCAAGAACAAAGTGCTTACACACTATGGGAGAAGCTTGGTAGCATGTATCAAGCAAAAACCACCCGAAATAAGACGTTACTAATGAGGAGATTAGTAAACCACAAGCTACGAGGTGGTATTTCAGTGTCAGAACACACCAGTAAATTCCAGGATCTTGTGAATCAGTTGAGCACCACCGGATGGGTTCTCAAAGATGAGAGCAGGCGATACTACTCTTGAGCTCTTTACCTGAAAGCTGGGAGACTCTTGTTGTCACTCTCAGCCATTCTGCTCCTAATGGCAAGGTGATTATGCAAATGGTCACAGATGCCCTGATGATTGAAGAAGCCCAAAGGAAGGAAGCCGCGACAAAGCAATCATATGCATTCATGTCAGAAACCAGCAGACGAGGGGGGGGGGGCAGAAATGGAGGAAGAAGTCAAGGTTGAGGTAGAGGCCAAAGTTAAAACAAAGGCAATTCTCAAGTTCGCGGCAGATCACAAGAGAGAGGTATGTGCTTTGAAAACAATACTTGGTTTGAAGGATATTGCAATTACTGTGGTAATTATGGGCATAAAAAAAGAGATTGTAGAAAGTTTCCAAGAGAGAAGCCATTGACGAGTCAAAATACTAGCCAAGAAGATGGTGTGACTATGGTTAGTTTGTCATCAGACGTGTGTCTTGTTACACATGGTGAACAAGAATGTTTACACATAGGTACTCATGATGTTGAGTGGGTGATTGATACAGCCGCATCATTTCACGCCACTCCACACCAGAACTTATTCACATCTTATAAGTCCGGAGACTTTGGAGCTGTGAAGATGGGAAACACCAATTTCTCGAAGATTGTTGGCATTGGTGATGTGCACATAACAACCAATGTTGGATGCGCACTTATGTTGAAAGATGTTCGACACGTTCCAGATCTTAGATTGAATCTTATCTCCGGTATAGCTCTGGATCAGCAAGGATATCTTAACCGATTCAAAGAAGGTATGTGGAAGTTATCTAAAGGTTCCTTGATTGTTGCAAGAGGCCATATTTGTGGTACTCTATAAAACTCATGCAAAGTTGTGTCATCCGAGTCTCAATGCTATTGAAGAAGAGATATCACCAAACTTGTGGCACCGGGGGTTAGGCCACTTGAGCTTGAAGGGATTGACAACTCTTGCAAAGAAGGAAGTCATTTCCATTGGCAAAGGTGTTGCCCTAGATTCATGCGAGCACTGTCTATTTAGGAAACAACATAGGGTTTTCTTCAGTTCTACTAGGAAGAACCATACAGAGTTACTCAGACTTGTCCACTCTGATGTATGTGAACCCATTGAAGAGGAGTCACTTGGAGGAAGCAGATATTTCGTGACATTCATTGATGATGCATCACGAAAGGTATGGGCTTACTGTTTAAAGAGTAAAGATCAAGTGTTTGATCGCTTCAAATTATTCCATGCCATGGTAGAAAGAGAAACAGGAAAGAAGCTAAAGTGTCTACGTTCAGACAATGGAGGAGAGTACACTTCCCGGGAGTTCTCAGCATATTGCGCCACATATGGAATCAGACATGGGAAGACGGTTCCACGAACTCCACAGCACAATGGTGTAGCTGAAAGAATGAATCGAACCATGCATTATGGAGAAAGTTCGTTGCATGTTGAGTATGGATAAACTACCTAAGCCATTCTGGGGTGAAGCTGTGCTGACAGCTTGTTATTTTATAAACAGGTCACCTTCTGTTCCTTTAAACTTTGAAGTGCCAGAGAAGAAATGATCAAGAAGAGATGTTTCTTACTCTCACTTGAAATTGTTCGGGTGCAAGGCATTTGCACATGTATCCAAGGAGTTGAGATAGAAGCTTGATCTCAAGTCAAACCCATGCGTCTTCATCGGCTATGGAGATGAAGAATTCGGATACCGGTTTTGGGATCCCGAAGTGAAGAAAGTTATACGAAGCAGAGATGTTGTATTTCATGACAACGATTTTCATGGGTGTGCTCCAATAATCCACCAACAACATACTCCAAAAGATGAAGTGCCTGTATCATCAAACATTCCTCTTAGCGACGAGGAGATGCATGATACTACCGAACAATAGAGTGATAGTTCAGTAGGTGATGATGATGCTCACAGTGATGATATTCCTCAGTAGGGGGAGCCTTCATCTGAAGACGAAGATGAAGGTACTCATGTTCGACGTTCTCTGCGAGGCATAGTTCCACAGAGAAAGTACTCCACATCCGAATGGATACTTGTTGCTAGCGAGGAGGAGCCAGCGAGCATCGCAGGAATGAGAGAAATAAAGAAAAAGGTGGAGGGGGAGATTTGTAGAGATATTCCACCTTCTTTCTTGGAAGTTGCCAAGAGGCATCTCACACTTTCATGGAAGGAGCTCTCCAACATATAAACATGGGAGAAGATATGGAGATAACTAGGAAGCTTGGATGCAATTTCCCCTTGTCTCCAAATAGCCCTATAAATAGAGTGTTCTATTGTTGTTCATATTATCAGTTTTAGAAAGTGAGAAAAATGTGTGAAGAGTGAAATACACTTAGAAGCTGTTCTGTTCGTCTTAATCTTATTACTTATTGCTTATTCTTATTTTATTCAGATCAAATCAGATCAGAAAGATTCAGATCAGATCAGATCAGATCAGAATCATTCAGATCATATCAGAAACATTCAGATCAGATCAGGAACATTCAGATCAGATCAGGAACATTCAGATCAGATCATGAACATTCAGATCAGATCAGAAAAGTTCTGACATGATTTATCCCTTTTATTATAATAATAATTATAATAATATTAATAATAATTATAATTATTATTATTATTATTAATTTATTATTATTATTATTATTATTGTAATTATTATTATAATTACTATTATTATTGTTATCATCATCATCATCATCATCATTACTATGATTACTATTATTATTATTATTATTATTATTATTATTATTATTTTTTATTATTATTATTATTATTATGATATTTATTATTATTATCATGATTATTATTAATCTTATTACTATTATGGTTGTTGTTGTTATTGTTATTAGTATTTTTTTTTGTTATTATTATATTACACGGAGTAATTACAATTAAAATTATAGAAATAAATATTATAATTAAAATTAAAATTATAATTATAGAAATAATTATAACTAAAAGTATAATTACAATTATAATTATAGGTTTTTTTTGTTTACTCTAGGAGACGTCTGGGGGAGGAGGTCTGGGGGAGGGGGTCTGGGGGGGGCTGAAGTAAACTAGGTTGAAACTCAGCCCATTGAGTTTCGAACCCGAGACCTCTCATAAGGGAGAGTGAGTCGGCGACCAGCTGAGCTGGACCGCTTCCTCTAATTATAGCTATATTTATAACTAGTGTAATACGTATAATAATAATTATACCTATTATAATTATTATAATTATAATTATAATTTTTTATAATTATGATTATAATTATAATTATATTTAAATTATATATGTGTAATTACATTTCTAATTATTATAATAAAAATTAAAATTATAATTATAATTTTAGAAATATTTAAATCAGACCAGATCAGAAGGATTCAGATCAGATCAGAAGGATTCAGATCAGATCAGAAACATTCAGATCAGATCAGGAACATTCAGATCAGATCAGGAACATTCAGATCAGATCAGGAACATTCAGATCAGATCAGGAACATTCAGATCAGATCAGGGACATTCAGATCAGATCAGACCAGATCAGAAAGATTCAGATCAGATCAGATCAGAAACATTCAGATCAGATCAGATCAGAACTTAAAAAATTCAGATCACAAACATTCAGATCAGGTGAAGAGAACTGCTTCTTAGAGTAGAAGTGTATTGGTGAGGATTGGTTTTTTGTAATAGTTGAGTGTGAGAGTTTGCTCCTCCTATTGTAATTCTGTTCTTGATATTGAATAGAAGAATTTTCCAATCCCAACATTGATGTTGAGATGTTGCTAATGATGATGTTGTTGAGAATGAATTGAAATCTAGGCTGAAAAACCTTGAAATCTATCAAAGTAAATGATAGAAACATATGAGAAGAAGCTTGTAGACCATTCTGCCATCTGTGCTTTCAAAGAATCAAATATTTTTGTTGTCTATTTCAGACTTCATCTCTTCCTTGTCTCTGCTGAATGCAATCCTGATGTATAAATCATTCCTTAAACTCTTTTTGAAGGTTTTTCTTTCTACCATCCAAGAATCTCCTGGACAGCTCTTTGCTTAGCATAGATCCTGCACAAAGATGGTTCTAACTGCTCAATGGTTCTTTGAGGGTCCGTTTGGAATCTGAAAATGCCAGGGAAAGAAAACAGGAATGGAAATTCAGGGGCTACATCAGCTCTAACAGCTTCCTGCAATATCCAGGTATAAGGATGCTCATTCATCAGTTTGCTTGAAGATCCCAACCAGCTAGAACTGCTTATGAACAATGACAGTTTCACTCTGTAAGTCTTTGCCCATTCTGCTTTTGCTCTGTGACTATAAAAATGAGAGATCATATGAACATTAGTTATTTTATTTGTTTTTTTTATCGTCATGAACATTAGTTATTAGATTAATAAAAAAATATCAATGATTTTTTTACACAGATAAAAAAAACATTAAGGCAAATAAAATAAATACTTTGCCCTTTAAAAAGGAAGCTTAATTATAGACGTTATATGTGCAAAGTGTTATTCTACTCAGATTCCAAAGATAATACTACTACAAGTAATATCTTTGGAAATATCACAGACCATGAATACACAGAAAATGCAGAGTATTCACAAATACATTCCAATCGTACATTACACTACGATATATCACAAAGACCATCTAGCTATGGAAAATTACATCAACAGGCCGTTATATCCTAATTTCCATCAAGAAATCCCATAATAAAGAAAACCAATGAAAATCCAAATGGCTAATTAATAGACAATCAATTCGGAAATAAGAATCTGATGTTTCCCAAAGGGAAACATTTGATATATGGGGTGTTTCCGTGCTCCTATGTGCAGGCGTGCAGTGTTTCATAAAATGCAAAGTTCGCTTATGCAACGTTCCATAAAATGCAAAGTTCGCTTATGCACCGTACAATCAATCAGCGGTTGTGAGTTACCCAGGCAGCGCTGCCAGAAAGAACCCGACCTTTCCACCCCTGCAGCACCCAATGGCCGTCTTCAGCAAACATAAAGTCTTTGTGATATGATTCCCGTGCCTTGTCTCTTAACTTCTTTACGAGTTCAGGGTTCAGGGGCATAGGCTTGAACCCAGCCCTCAAAGTGCGGCTTTGCCACTGCCAGGGGCGGAGCCAGGTCAACAAAGAAGGCTGGGCCGGATTGCTACTAAACTTCAAGACAGAATTTTTAAGTAATAAATATAGGAATCACATTAATCAAAGTTTATCACAAAAGTTGCTACTCCAAAAATCATAATACATTATGTTTACAAAAATAACTGGACTCGGCGATAATTTTCTTCGAAGGAGGCTGTTGAGTAGCCATTTTTTTTCTACAATCCAAATATTTTTAAAACACATATAAAAATATTAAATGATATTCAAAGACTTAAATAAATTACATAGCAATTTAGTTAGAAAACACATTTAACCTATATTAATATGCATCACTAATTCAGTATATTACTATGGAGTATATGTCAAAGATTCCCTAATACAACATATTACATATACGCATAATCATAGGTTCACATTTTCAATAAATCACCAATTCACCTAAAACCATAAATTCACATCAATTTATAATTAATGTAAATACACATTTATACACATATACCTATACACTGCACTTTGCAAAATCAAGATACAATCTTGCAACAAAATATATAAAAACTGAATACGGAGTATAATCACTAATCAGTATATAATTCATGAGTTAGGATTAGAAAATTGACCTCAATTTCTTGAGCAATAACCAATGAAAGATTTCAGATTTGACTGCTTTTTGGGAGCTATATACACCGCCACAGGGCACCACCCCACCGTCGGCCGACCTCTGGGCTCAGGCGCCTTCTGCAGCTGGCGGCTGGCGCCTCTCCTCCGGACTCCAGTCTTCAGTTGGTCAGTTGGAACTTGGAGCGCAGCCTGCCAGCCATGTCAGCACGACCGCAATTCGTTCGCTCTCTTGTTTTTCATTTCAATTCCAATTTCCCCTTTTTCTAATTGCTGCTGATTGTTTTACGCATAAGCACTTAAGCAGTCCTGCGCATAAGTGTAAACCGCTGGGCTTGTTGAGTTGCTGGGTAATTGAGAATAAACTGGGCCGAATTAAATTTTACACTGGGCCGGTTCTAAAAATTTTTTATATAGTATACCTAGAATTAGGCAGACCTACCCTGGGCCAGTGCCCAGCCTGGCCCACCCCCACCTCCGCCAGTGGCCACTGCTTGTATGTTTCAGGCCTTTCTAACCTTTCCGTGCCCTCACATGCTAGAATATTCGTTATGACAGGCCCCATAACTGTTTGTTCGAAATTTAACCGTTGACTATCATGGTGTGAGAAAATAGATTCAAACATATCAAAGATACCAGAGTAGTAGAAGAGAGCAGATTGGAACCGATTGACAAAGAAAGGTGAGTTGTGAGATGCACTAAGCGAAGTATGCACAAAAATATGAGGGTTTACTTCCCGGATTAAGTTTAAAACAACATCCCTGGGACTGTCAGAACCAGATGCTGTCTCGTCTAGTAAGCCTTTGAATCGATCATTACAGTTAACAGCAACCACCTCACCCTGCGCGAGCTTTAAGTCATCAATCTTAAGTGCCTCCCAATTCTTTGCAGTGATGGCATTGTATTGAAATGGTACATTAAAACGCTTGCAATATCTTGCCAAGCGACAACCAGTGTCCACTATTGTTTGAGATGGACGAAAACCAGGTTGGGGAAGCTCAATCCCAGTTATTCGAAGTTTTGGAGGGCCACCGTTCCTTTGTGAAAGATCCCGAATAAGAGTGGGCCACTGGATACCATGAAGAATCCCAAAATCTATAATGTGTAGTGATGTCGCTTTTTTTGCTACTTCATAAATCATTTTATTCGCAAAGAAGATAAATAACCTCAGAAATGGCAAATATGATGACATGTAGGATTTCATCAATTCGGAAGCATAACTTGGAAAGCAATCTGCCTTGCAAAATGATGACGAAGCATAAAGTTGCGGCAGAGTTCCCAGGCGTGCCTCAAGGCCGTTAGCAAACGCATGTGCCAGCCTCTGATTTGAGTCACCGGAAGGAGAAGAGTAACGCCTGATGTTCTTTAGTTGTTCTACAGCAACCTTATCATTAGCAGCAGCAACAGATTTTGCGCAGCTGATCAAAAGAGACTGGAGATCAACGACTGCACAACCATATGTTCCTTGTTTATTTGAACGGCTATTGCGCGCATTTTGGCCTTTCTGTTGTTGTTTTCCGGCTGCAGATAGAAAATCATCATTATTATCAGTAGTACATAGCAAAACCTTATCAAACACCTCTGATAAGTCCTCCTCCTCCTCCTTATAAACTGCACTCTGCTTCCTGCTCCTTTCCTCTTCTTTTTCTACTTCTAGCCCACTTTCACTTGCACGGTAGTGCTTCCTTCCTCTACACGAATCAGCTTGGTGTTCTTTCTTTACACTCACAACACTACCTTCAGTCTCCAAGTCCAATGGGTATTTATCATCGAAATGGATGACCATCGGATTAATGGCAGGAAATAATCTTCTAGCTTCCTGCACACCTCTCTGGAATTGGAGTATGAAGGCAGCTTCATCATCCAAACGTATAGTAGCACTATCAAAGCTATATAAAGAACCGTTTAACCCATCCAATGTAGTCTGACTTGATGAAGATGACTGGATGGAGAGACAGGGAGGATCATTTGTGACGGATGATTTGGATTCTCCATGATCGGAATTATAGAGATCAATATCAGAAGTGGAGGTCCCAACTGAGATGTCTTCTGGGCTTCCGACACTGCTGTCAAAAGAGAGGTTCTCGCTCAAGGCTTCAATAAAGTAATCCTCGGCAGCTCTCAGCGCAATAGGATCACGGAGCAACAGATCATCATTACTCTCGTCAACGTCCTCCTCCAGTAGTATCTTGTTAAGGTAATTGATCACGTGAGCTGAGCCTGTTGAAAGAGCGTGGTTAGGGCATTGTTCTGTAATTGGTGAAAGGACACCCTCGCTCTCACTCTCCAACCCGAGCCTCTTTATATGGAAGTAGGAAGGCAACCTTCCAGGCTGATGATCCATAAGCGTGTATGACAAGCTAGAAACCTATACCGATGACACATGGAAGAAACATGGTAAGCAGACAAATAAACAACGGCAACAATTCAATCAAAATGAACTGAGTACTTAATATGTATGGAGCTGAGGGAGAAACAAATCTCTGCATTGTCTACTCAATGAATTGCATCTTCTTCTGCTAGCCTACTGTTCCTTTTATCATTCCCTCGTCTTTTAAACATTGTAAAGTCAAAATGGATTTCAAAAAAGCCACAAATTGAACAGGAGGGCCAAACTGACGCATTAAACCCCAAAAAACCATTGATCGAAAAGGAAAAATGGGAAGAACAGAAGATGCAATTTAAACCTCAATTCTTAGATTTCTTAATTGCTAAAGGACATGCAGTAAGATAGCAACTGATGGAAAAGGAAAAATGGGACCTCCATACCCTGCTAAAACAAAGCAGCTAGCTTATGATATTCAATACGCATGTGAATAAACTATATATAATCAACCAACATAAAACCATTGAGCAAATTAAGCAATAGAACAGCTAGCGAGTGCGTACCTTGGAGTGAGAAGCAGGGCATGATTTATCTCTGAAATTGGAGATATAATATATATAGCAGCAAAAGAAATGCAGTGAGAAGACGGAGTAATTCAGGACGGGAGAAAGCCAAGGGATGTGAAGAAGGTATGGAAATCAAATGCAGTGTACTCTGAGCCACGAATTATTGCCAGTTGACACTGCTGCCATGTCCCAATTCCAAATAAAGTTTCTCTGGATAACCACATGGGGGTCGCAATGTCATGTCCAAAGTGTATTAATGGAAATTTAATCATGCACTGCTTACCAAAAACAGCATGTATCTCAAAAACACCAGCCACAGGACTTCTGTCCCACCACTACGATGGTTGTAGCCTACGTCAATTTTTTTAGAGTAGATTATTTCCATAAAGTTTGAATCTAAATTTCATTAGCAAAGTCAGTTAAATAAATTGTTAAAACAAATTACGTCAAACTATACATATAAAAGAGCAATATTTTTCAATAATTTATTTAACTGAGTTTCTGGATGAATTTTAAACTGAAATTTTGTGTACATAATTTATACTTAATGAAAAACATGGTAAAAATATCATCAAATTTTCCCTGGGAACCTGTCCAACGGCGGTGATCGGATGGAGTATCCTGGTGATCTATATGTGTGTGTACACTCCTTTGAAAATGATGAAATATTTAGATTCACGCTGCTTAGTTTATTTATAATAATTATTTAAAGTTGTTTACCTTTTGTAATATTTAGATCATGTTGCCAAAAATTATTTTGGTCATTTTTTAATACATTATTATGGTGTGTTATGAATTTGGACTAAAAAATTGATGGTATGGTCTAGTCTGGTATGTTTAAATCTAGTCCGATTTGGTCGGGTTTGAACTGGTCTGATCTGGTTTGGTCTTTGTGTATTTTATAACTACAGAAATCTGAGTTGGTCTGGTCTGGTCTGTTTAAAACTGGTCTGGTTTGGGACTGAAAACAGTCCAAGTAAAAACATCCTAATAAAAAGCGATTATTATACTCTTAAAGTATAGAGAAATGACAAAATATTTCTCCAACATTTTTTGGAAGATATAAATATGATTATTATTCATTTTTCCAAAATCTAACTAAACTAATTACAACTTTCTACACTCTTTTTTAATTGCATCGTTTCCATTTTCACGTTTCTGAACACACAACTTTGACTATTCATATGTTTCATTCAGAGAAGTGTCTAATGAGTACATTAACTTGTATCCACTACAGTAAAGAGTACATTGTATTACATCTAATATTTATAGAGACATAAATTCGGCATTTTATGGTTGATTGAGTACAACTTTGAAGTTAACATAAAATTGCTTATGTAAAAGTCTTTACTACTTTTAATTCATTTTCAGAAAAATTTCATGTTTTCCTCTTTTTTCCGAAATTGTGATTTTATATTGTTTTGTTTTATTCACTTTTACATTTTTAACTCCACCATGAGATCATTTTTTGGTACCATGCATGTTCCAAGCAAGGATAAAGGAGGAGGGTGTTGTGGTAGGCGTGTGAAGGCCAACAATATCACTTAGTCACATCACATGACATGAATCGAAATATGAATATCACTACAGCTAGGTCGTCGCCCGTAAGCGATGTGTCATCCCTCCGCCTATGGGTGGTGTCAAATATGCAAGGGCACGCTACACTTCATAGGCTTGGGTGTGGTGATAAGAATGCTAAGGCTGCTAGGTCGTCGCCCGGAAGCGACGCACCACTCCAATGCCCAGGGATAGTGTCAAATATGTAAGGGCATGGTGGTAGTCGATGTGGTGTGAAGAAGAAAAGGCAGGGTGCTACATTGCGTTTTGGGACATGGAATGTTGGCTCTCTTACGGGAAAATCATCCGAGATAGCTGAGGTTATGAAAAGGAGAAATGTCAGCATAATGTGCATGCAAGAAACTAAATGGGTTGGAGAAAAGGCACGTGAGATTAATCCCGAAGGTTTTAAGTTGTGGTATTCGGGTAGAGAAAGGAACATAAATGGGGTAGGCATTATGGTGACACATGATTATGTTGAGAGTGTGGTGGAAGTCTTCAGGAAGAACGACCACATCATGAACATTAAGTTGATAATAGGAGATGAGATCATGTCTGTGGTAAGTGCCTATGCACCACAAGTGGGATTTGATGCATCTATCACTCAACAATTTTGGGAGGATCTTGAGGAAGTGGTGCGACGAGTGTCAAGAGGAGAGAAGCTGATCATAGGAGGTGACCTCAACGGACATGTGGGCCCAAGTCGTTATGGTTTTGAGAGTATCCATGGCGGACATGGTTTTGGTACCGGCAATGAAGCGGAGAAGAACATTCTAGATTTTGCCTCGACGTATGAGTTGGCTGTGATGAACATTTGGTTCAAAAAAAGAGACTCTCACCTTGTGATCTATAGAAGTGGAACTAATAGTACCCAAATTGACTACTTTTTAGTACAAACGACTTGTAGAACTAACTACATTGATTGTAAGGTTTTTTCATGTGAGAGTGATGTCACTCAACATAGGATGCTCGTGCTTGAATTTCAAGGTAAAAAGAGAAGGCGGGTTAAGGTACAAAGGGAGCCCAAGATAAAGTGGTGGAGGCTCGAGTGGAATCTGCAACAACTTTTGCACAGAAAATGTTGGAGGAAGATGTATGGTCCATTGATAATGACACACATGTGGATGATGTGTGGTTATCAATGGAGTCCATCATTAACAAAGTGGCGAAAGAAATACTTGGAGAATCTAAATGATGTCTACCACCAAAAAAGGACACATCTTGGTGGAATGATGAGGTGAAACAAGCAATAAGGACTAAAAGGGAATGCTATAAGAAATTAGGCAAAAGTTGGAGCGACGAGAACATAGAGGAGTACAAGGAGACTAGAAGAAGAGCAAAGAAAGCTGTAAAGGAAGCAAGAGGAAAAGTGAACAAGGAATTGTATGCAAAATTAGACTCTAAGGATGGAGAAAAAATATTTACAGACTTGCTCGTCTTCGTGACCATAGGACTCAAGATATCGAAAAAGTTAAGTGTGTGAAGGATGTCGATCAAAGGGTATTAATGGAGGACAGGGAAATAAAGAAGAGAGGTGGTCATATTTTGATACCTTGTTCAACGAGAATAAAGTGCAAGGTATTGATGATCTTACTATACCAAAGTGTATGGTAAATCGGGACTTCGTGAGAAGGATCCAAATAACTAAAGTTAAAGAGGCTATGAGAAAGATGGGGCGGAAGAAAGCAGTGGGCCCAGATGGCATACCGATTGAGGCTTGGAGAAGTTTGGGAGAGAAATAAAAACATTGAGTGGCTGACACGTTTCTTCAACAGGATTTGGAGAAACAACAAAATGTCAATGAGTTGGTGGAAGAGTACTCCCATTCCCTTATTTAAAAATAAGGGTGATGTACAAGAATGTGCCAACTATCGAGGGATTAAGCTTATGAGTCACACCATGAAACTTTGGGAGCGTGTGGTTGAGCAAAGACTTCGAAAAAGTGTGAAAATTTTGGAGAATCAATTTGGTTTTATGCCTGGACGCTCAACAACTGAAGTCATTCACCTTCTTAGACAAGTTGTGGAGAAGTATAGAGACACTAAAAAGGATCCGCATTTGGAGTTCATTGACTTGGAAAAGGCATATGATAGGGTCTTAATTAGAAAAGGCATATCACATAAGTATATCAGTATCATCATGGATATGTATGATGCTTGTACTACGAGTGTCCGTACTTGTGTAGGGAGGACCGCAGAGTTCCCTATTATCATCCGAGTGCACCACAGATCGGCTCTGAGTCCTTTCTTATTTGCTATAGTCATGGATGAATTTACAAAGTCAATTCAAGAAGATATACCATGGTGCATGATGTTTACCGACGATATTGTATCGATTGATGAGACATAATCGGGTGTTAAAGCAAAGTTGGAAGTATGGCGACAAACATTGGAGACCAAGGATTTCAGACTGAGCCGAAGCAAGACTGAGTATATGGAGTGCAAGTTTGGTGGAGGTAGAAGTAGTATCAACAGTGGGATTACTCTTGATGGTATGGAGATACCGGTGTGTGATATGTTTCGGTACTTAGGCTCCATAATTCAAAATGATGGTGAATTAGATGAAGATGTATCCCATAGAATCAGAGCTGGGTGGATGAAATGGAAGAGTGCATCATGATTTCTATGCGATCGAGGTATGCTGCTAGACTGAAGGTAAATTTTATCGAACAACAATTAGGCCCGCATTAATGTATGGAGTAGAGTGTTGGGTGGTGAAGTAATGTCACAGTCAAAAGATGAGTGTGACAGAGATGTGTATGTTGCGTTGGATGTGTGGACATACCAGAAAAGACCGTTTGAGGAATGAGATAATCAGGCAAAGGGTGGAAGTAGCACATATAGAAGATAAGATGCAGGAGTCCCGTTTGGGGTGGTTTGAGCATGTGCATAGAAGAACGAGTGATGCACTTGTTAGGCGACTTGAGGGGTGTAACACCGTCCCCAAATGTATTTACTTTTAAGTGAATAATGTATTGAACCTTATGGGATGGTTAATGAGTATACGAAGTTGTGAATTTCTAATATGTCTTTTGAGTGAATAGTAAATTCGCACGTGGGGCCCACACCGGGAGCGGGGCCGCCCGATGTTCCCGAGACCGTATATTTTATTCACCGTGGTCGAAATAATGTTCATATAGAGATGGATATTATTTTTAAATATTTATTTGGGGGCTTGTATGCCCATGTTTGCCAAGGTGTGGCATGAACACTTGTATTGAATGTTTCCGCTGCTTTGAATGAATATTTTTACATTATGTTTGTTTACGGATGTACTATTGTGAATGATATTACAAACGCCTTGTATAGTATGGATGTGTTGGATTGCGGTTGACTATTCGTACTGTACGGCGGATTGTTGACGTGTCTGGATAGGTCCGGGGCGTGACAATTTAATTGGTATCAGAGACTTAGTCCGTAAACTTCATAATGAAGCTTCAAAATTTCATTTTGAAAACGAATTTGAAAACCATGAGCATAAAAGTTTTGTACTTATGGAACTTTTGGTACTTGAGTTGCAAAGTCTCTAATTGTTAAGATGGTACCCTTAACAATTGGTATGACGGTGATTTGAGCCAAAGGATGTCTTTAAGTACCTATCCGTCACTTGACATTGATACGAGTCTAATGACTCATTCTAATTCCTTTCAGAAATGGAGC